AATATGCATACATATTAAAAGTAAATTAAATAAAATTTAACACACAACCATTTTGCGCGACGTAATAAACAAAGCAAATAAATGCATACGTACAGATTAATAAAAACACACACATAAATTATAACCAACAATGGTCGCGTTATTAAACCAAAATATATATACATGCATACATTAATAAAAAAATATATACATACCACATAAAAATGTAGAGCGAGGCATACAAACATAGCCTGGATCAAATAGAGTAAAAAACGGCAATTATAAATAATAAAAAATAAATAAATGTATGTTGGTGTCTAAAACTCCATGAATTTACTGAGGAAAGAAAACCCTAATTTCACGTGCCGCGTCAGCTATGTATGTTTTTCTTCATTTTAATAAGAATAATTCTCTAAGGATATTGCTGGCTGCTTTAGAAACTACAAGCGTAAAAAAACGCTGCAATATGTTTATAGAGGATTTTAGGTAACACAAAATAGCGCAGGCATAAAACCAACTGCAAGAAAAATACACAGATATAAAAAATGCAAAAATAATAGCAACATCGTGGATAGCAGTTATAAGGTACACAATGTCAGTTGGTGGTTGCAAGGCAGTTCGATGTTAAAATAGCTCCACCATCATTTATAAATAAATATACGCGTGTGCGTAACTGTCGCGCAACACAGGTGACGTGTGCAGACGTGTATTAATAAGCCTTGCAATTTGGCACCATGACGACTCTAACAGCCTCTGCACAAGCAGAGAACAGCCGTAACAAACCCAAGGGCAAAAGTAAAAGTGCGTGCAAAATTATTAAAGGAAACATTTTATATAGAGCAAAAACCATTATTAAAATTATGGAAGATAAAAATAATACAATAAAATAAATGAAATTTAAATGATTAAATAAGTAAAAACATAATTCATACGGGAAAGCAGCGTTACCCACACTAAACATAAAATACATCTTATTCTCCTTGGTTTTAGTGTCTTGTTTCCTTTTAAGGATATTCGAGCATATTCAGACAAAAATTAATTAATGAATATAAATTCAAGTACATACGGGAAAAATGCTACAGAAATCTTTAAATACCATTAAAAAATATTGAAAAAAGATATATGCATACAATTTAATTTACCATTTAAGTTTATGATATAAGTAACTAAAACAAAAAGGAATAAAATTCATTTTGAAATTCAATAAAAAGTATCAACAAATGTATGTTCTTTTCAACATAGCGAATTAATTGTGTGGAACTGGCGAGAGATTAAAAAAATACTACATTTTTCCCGCGCCTTTCGCGATTTAAAGCTTAAAACGATAATATTTCACGCGAAAAGCAATGCTATAAGGTCTCAGAGTGAAAACAGCAAAGCGAAGCCAGCTTCTGCATTCGTTTTTGTGAGTTCAGTGTGAACTGGTGTATTTAACACTTTTTTTTAAAGAAAATTGTTCTTCAATGACGTTCATTATTTAATTGAAATAATTCACTTTAATAAAATTAAATCGTTCACCTTTTTCACTTTATTAAAAACAAAACTCGTGCTCGCGTTTCCAAATATTGCGGTGCCAATAAACAACAAAAAAGGCGCCATCTAAGGATCTTCCGTTATATGGGTCGTTCAACACCGGCAAGATTAACTTAACCTTTCCCGTGACTTTGCCTGCCACTGGCGACTGATAGCCAATAAGGAACTTATACATACGTTCCCACGACAGTCGGGTCTACGTAACAGGAACGACCTAGATTTATATCTGGCCAAGGACTGTCACTCCAGCAACACTCCCCAAAAACTCTTTGTGTTCTTGTTGTAGGGGCTACAACAACCCCGCCCAGATCGGTTGATAACTCAGTCGTTGTCGTCGAGTTCCACTAATGGCAGCCCCAAGAAGCGTGCAGCCTCTATGGGGTCGGTCCACAGGGACGACGCCGTTAAGGTTGTAGGGTTTTCCGGGGCATTCCCACGACAGCCGGTTCACGTACCGGAATGACTCGGGTTTTACCCAACCAAGGGCTGTTGTTTCGGCGATCTTAGCCCTAGCCATGCCTACAAGACTAGCAACTAAACACCAGTCGCCATATATAATAGCGCCATAAATTCTAATATTTCCGTTAAACCTAACGTAAAGCGTTGTTCTTAATGTATAATGGGCCTATTATGGTTAGCAAGGCAGGCAATGGTAAACCTAAGAGTGTATTTGCCATGAAAAAGAAACAAGCGCTGTCGGAGCTGGCGTAAAACGGTAGGTCACTCCCCTTTGGGTAACCACATCAAGGCGCACGCAACAAATCGGAGGGGAAGGTCGGCCAAACACTAATCTAATAAATTTGTAAAGCCCCAATCTATTATTATGGCTACCAACGCTACATCAGTTGAGTTGCCGACTGGTGAACGCCATTGAAATTAAAAATAGTTGTCTGGGCTATCACTGAATCCATCGTAGTTCGACTTCTACGAAATCTACGATAATGCTGTCATTTCAGCTGATTTCCCAAAAAATCTAGGGAAATTCCAGCTGTTACAACAACATTATAATAGCCACTATCGTATCTCATTAACAGCTAAATCGATCTTTTAAAAACTCGGTTCGCTCATTGCTCTTGGTCTCACTAATCAACCCAAAATTGGCAAAAATTAAGTAAGTTCACGAGGTTTGCGTTCACCTGAACTAGCCTATTTTACAAAAGGAGTTTTTGAATATTTGGAATATGTATATTGGAGTAATGGTAAGTAAAACAACAACCCGTTGTATGTGGCAATGCAAAAATTTCGAAGTACATACATACAGCCCGCGACAAAAGATACCACATCAACATTTTTACCAGTTTCGCCTAGTTTTCTTTTGCTTTTGTTAAGGTTCATTAATTTTTTATTAAATTCCAAGTATTTTAATTAAAATTTCTAAATTAATTTTTGGTGTGTAGTTTTATAGCTTATTAAAATCTAGTACAAAAAAGTGACAGTTTGAATTTGCTAAAAAATTGCATTGATTTTTGATATTTTTTCTGACGGTGTTATGGCACTTTTTTCCACATAAAAAATTAGTTATTTGTATGAAAGAAAATGCGTGATATCGCCAGCAAAAAAATGATCAAAAATCAACGTGGTTTTTTAACAACATCAAACTCGCACTTTATTATACTAGAACTTAATATGCTATACCAAAAATTATTCAAGAAATTAAATTTAAAATGCTTGAAATTGGTACGGAAAGTTTGAGGAATTTTTATAATTTTTGTACATAGTCTGAAATTTGGATATGTTAAATAAGTAGCTATACTTTTATATAAAAATAATGAACATTAAACAAACAAAAGATAGGTAGTCAAAACTGTTCAAAATGTTGAGGTGCTATCGTTTTGTCGGGGGCTATACCCACATACATTATGTCTTTTATATCATTTTGGAAAAGGGAGATTTTTTTTTCAAATTTTAAAAACTTCATACAAATTGCCTAAGAGGTCAACTTTGACAGTTGTTTTCTTGATGCTCTGTTGCTGACTTTCAACTCGAAATCTACTGAAATGTTGCAAACTTCATACCTTGATAAAACGTTATTTCTTTTTCAAATTGACAACGAAATCAAAAAAAGTACGAGTAAAAAGGTGGTAAAGTAGGGTGCGTTCAGAAATGCATCAGACCAAAGCATCAGTTTCTTTTATTTCTAAACAATAATTGGTGGAAAGACCAATACGCGCAGGGACGGTTTAATAACGAATTGGAACTTATTTGCTTAAATAAGGTATATCCATCAATGATAGTTTAGAAATAAAAGGGACTGATGCTTTGGCTTGATGCATTTCTGAACACACCCGTAATGAAGTATATCGTTACCTTAATTTACAAAGGACCTAACCAACACTTTTTCGAAACCGCATTTTACATGGATTTTGGTAGAATGTACTAAAATACACCCTAAATAAAAATTTTAAAGTGTTAGTACCAAAAACGACGGAGTTACATGCAACTTTTTAAAAAGCCCGACCAGTTTTTGATACGCTTTTTATAACGTTTTTTTGTTTCTAATAAAATCTAAATAAAAAATTGGTTGGTTAAGGCCTTTGTTAATTAAGGTAACGATATTTCGCTTATAGTAGGAGTATGGGTTGAACAATATTTAGGCTTGTATTGTGACTTGCGCAGCGAATGGTTTCAAGAACTTGTGCAAGTGTACACTCTTACTCCTATACCTAAACAAAAGCGTTGGGTGAAGTGTTTTCTGACGCCTGGCGTTAACGCCGATGTGCCATTACCTACATAAAAGGAAGCGGCAACGCTACGTCAAATGCAGATATAACACCAACAATAAGCGTTCCCATGACAGTCGGGTCTAAGTAACGGGAACGACCCAGATTTACATCTAATAAAGGACTGTCATTCCATCAACACCGTTCCCACGACAGTCGGATCTACGTAACCGGAACGACCCAGATTTATATCTGGCCAAGGACTGTCACTCCAGCAACACTCCCCAAAAACCCTTTGGGGAACTTGTATGCTGCTACAACAACAACAACATTCCATCAACACTCCGCAAAAGGTTTTTGGGGAATTTTTAAGCTGTTACACCAACAACAACATAGATTTGTTTGTGTGAAATACAAAAATGACAGTTGCGCCGTTATCTGCAGCCAACTTCATTTCCTAATGCCCTGTCAAAATACGATTTTCCAACCGCTCAGCGTTGCTGCCGAACTCATAGGTATGAGCATTTTTTAACAGCCAGACAACGCCGACGCTTTTATATAGGTACCGTTATTAATCCACATTTTAAGTGTGTGTCCCTTCGCAAGTCCCAATACCTGCCTTATGCAGACCTTAAAATTACATGTCATAAAAAGCTCCACTCAATTCCAAGTGCAACAGTCTCTACCTATACATGGGCATATCGTCACATAATTCAAAAAGGCCCTATCCAACACTTTGTTCGAAACTAAACCACAAAAAAATTTGAAAGTATTAGTACCAAAAACAACAGATTTATGCCACTTTTTAAAACGCCTTATACGTATGCATGATTTGATTTTTAAAAGCTTTTTTATGTTCTTTGCTTCTGTAAAACAAAAATAAAATGTTTGCTTGGGCCTTTGCGAATTAAGGCAACGATGCGTAGATTAAGCCACTTTAATACATAAACATATTTAGAAGTAATCAATAAATTACCTTAATTTTTGTTGATTTCGCTCAACCAATTATTTATTTTCTCTTTAAACGCCATCGTACTGCAGCAACGTTTGTACATTATTTTTATTTATCAATATTAAAATAAGCCATTTCGTATGTGAATTTGTTTAAACTTAGCTAAGTTGTTGATGATGTTGTCCATCCCCGTGCCCATCATTTGAAGTAGCAATCGAATTTTTGAACTCATTCGCTACATTTTCAAACTCATCTGGCCCCGCCTCCGCATCATGAAATTCTTCATCAACGTTATGAATGCCCAGCTCTTTCAGTATACCGCGCAAGCGTCGAATCTCACGTTGCGCATCGTCCAACTCGTGTTCCATATTTCCAATAACTTCAGCCGGTATAGGTTTATCACCCAATTCCTCCCGTATGAAATCCAAAGGATTTTCTGGCTTCACGTTCGCTTGCAATAGTTTGTGCAATATTTCGTTCATTTTAGATGTTATACCACACTCGCGCAAATATGCGTGTCGCATATCTTTTTTCGCTTCAGATGAGAGTTCTTCATTTAAAAACACATCCATAATTTTACTACTTTGAATAAAATAAATTAAAAACTTTTATGACCGATGATAGAAAAAAATTAATTGGGAGAGGTTAAAATTTAACGAAAATAACTGTATATCTTTGACAACTTATAAACTGCCAAAAATGGGCAAGAATTGCAGGTAAAGCAGTTTATTCACAATAGACGGATCAGAGTCAGAGAACGTTTATAAATGAGAAGGCGCATTTTCTGTGTGAACTAATTGCTGCCAGAAATTTTGGGGTGCAGTCGGCCAAATATACCACTCGTCGGCAAAGTACACCACTCGACCGACGGTGTCGGCAGAGAAGTGTCGGCTGCCACCATACCAAAAATTTTTCCGTGCCACCACACCAGTCTTTTCTTGGTTGAAAAAGGTAATGGATTCCTATTTTCCACTGGGTATACATGTAAGTATATTTATATACGTTCTCTGTTTATAGTTTACGCAAATCGAATTACGGTGGATCTAACACTTACCTCAAAAAAACCTAGGCATGGCCAAACTATATAAAAATAATACAAATTGGTATATGTATATTTTTACACACTACACATGATTAATTTATTTATTATTATGGTAACATTCTATTGACATGGTATGCACTCGCAACCGTTTAATATGTTTACTTCAGTTATGTTCGTGTGCCTTTGCAGCTTTTATGGTAAAACTTTGTGTGCATTTACAAAATTTTAACGTCACTACTTTCATAAGAATCGAGTTTGACATAATTAAAATTTATATAAAGGTGTGTATGTATAATCTATAAACTAACAAATAAAGTCCCGTCAAGTTTCTACTTTCCTTCATTATTTATGTGTATACATTTTAGTAATCATACATGGCGTGCTTAGCTTTGGTGTTAAATAAAAATTAGTCCGTTTTATAGTGTATTTTATTCATAACCATTAAAGCAAACTTTAGTACATTATTATATTTATAATAATAATAAAGTGAAGTACATTTAATAAAAATTGTGTTTACTTGTGTGTGTGTGTTCGCAACTGCCTGGTGCTCTGGTTATGTGCTTATATTTATTATTCAGTTTACAGCAATAAAATAGACATAGACCAGTGAATAATAACACTGGCTTACAGCAAAAATGTTTACTAACTATCCAATTATTATGTAGAATTCCTCGGTGATTCCGAAAATCGAGTTATTTTTTCTATGGATAAGTTTTCGAGATATTTTAAATTTACCGTTATTCAGCGTAAAACAGTGGTTCCACTTAATCCGTATGTACATATATTTTACGAGCCAATGAAATATCTCGTATATCTTAAAACATAGCAAATGAAAGCTAACAAAAATCTCAATAAATTACTTTTTGATAAGCCTGAAGGTTTGTGAGAAATAAATTAAAAGTTCTAATTTTTTGTATTTTTGCTCAAAAAATTAAAAAAAAAAATCAAACTTTAGCAAGGAAAAAATTAAAAAAATTACGGATTCTGTGTAAATTTTTTTGCTTTCGAGTTAGAAAAAAAAGCAAGCTACTAATGAAGAAAATCGATGTATAAATAAAGAGTGGTCAAATGAAAATGCGCAACGATTTTTTGCATGAAAAATGAGCAATAAAGAATGTTACTCATACGCAATGATCACCTGTGTAACACTCTTATCTGATCCTTGCGCATTTTCATTTGACCACTCATTCCTTTCTTATTTATTCATTTCTTCTTTGGTAGCTTCATTTTTTCGTAAGGGAACAGGCTTTCATAAAACATAAAAAATGGACAAAAAATCGTTATTTTCTTTCCCCTGTTAAAGTTGTATTTTTTTTAATTATTCCATCAAAAAACCCAAAAATCTGGAATGATTAAATAATTTCTCAGATATTATAAGACCTATGGAAAAATGATGCATAAACGGGTTATGGAGAATTTTGTTAGTTTCCATTTGCGGTATTTTATATTCAAATTGTTAAATTTGTAAATCGTATAATATACGTAAACTGCAAATATCTCGAAAACTTGTCCATAGAAAAATAGTTAACTTAATTTTCGGAATCACCGAGCAATTCTACATACGATTTAGATAGTGACATCCGGTGAACAAAAAAAAAAACAAAAACTTCTGATCCAATGTAATTTTTAACCAGGTTACCAAATAACCAGGAACCGGAATAGCGTTTAGGCATGAGTACAAGCAAATATAAATGGATTGTATAATATGTACAGTATGAAGGTCCTCACATACATAAATGTAATGTTCAGCATATATCAATTAATACTATAGGGCCTTTCGCTTTAGCCCCAAACATATATATACATACGTATATCGCTGCTTACCACTGGCAATCACACCTACCTAATACTATAGACCTAAACAATATTGAAAATTAATTTAGCTAAAATGAAAATTAACTGTTCCATTAGAGATCTGTCAAAATCTCAATTTCGCATACATTTTCTTTTTTCATTGGAAAAGCCTTAAGTATGCCATGTACATACATATATTTTAATTACATTTTTTGTACGATCTTTAAACATTTATGTTTTCTTTAATCATTGCGTTATTTTTGCTTATTTTGTTTTGTAAAGTAATCCACATAAGAATATTTATTATTATTGATGTTATTGTGTTTATTGTTGTTGTTGTCATTGAATATTCCTTAAATATGTCTCGAATAAAGCATTGCCCAGTATTTGCTGGCATTACGTTCCACCACTACATAATGCAAACACACATAAATATATACATACATATGAATGAGTAATCTCCCAGTGGGAAAAGGTAATATCTGTTGTTCAATTCAGAATTTATGACACCAAAAGAGTCCGAAATGAGCCAGTCTGGTTGACTGGTTTCAAAATCATATTTGTAACCAAAGGAAGATTCACTTTAGACTCATAAATTTTGAGCACTCAGAAATTGTTTAAAGGCCTAAAATTAAAACAAATACATACATCATCTACTCACTCTGTCAGAAGAATTAACCCACACTGACGAATTTTGTATTTTTTTTTTTTTTTTTTGACTTCTCAGAGTACATACCAAACTCGGTAAAGCTCTACCCATAATTGCAGCGGACGACGGTAAAGCATCTGGTCATTTGTTTCATAAAACATGAATTTATGTGAAAATATATTTGGAATATTTCAATGCACTTAAGTCATGACAGCGGCCGCCGAGCTGCGCACCTCCATTTGGTAGTACCAAGGTTCGATACCTGGTCTGAGCATATATATGAATTTCTTTTATTTGTTTCGACGATAAGAGTTATAACCCAACATTTATTTTTTACGTTTACGTTATGAAACAAAGTTTTTGCGATAAAACTTATAACTGTTATGTCCCTGCTTTAAGTTTTTTTTTTATAGTTTTGTCCATAACTACTGGGCAACACGATATTGCATTTGACTCTCAAATACCTCAAAAACCACAGTTTGAGAAACGCTGGACAAATCTAAAAAATTAAGTCATTAGTTATTAAAAAAGATAATAATAATAAGCTATAAATGGTGCTTTGATTTTTGATATTATAGATGAACATATGTATATTATATTTAACGTATTGTACATTAAACATAACCTCAAAAATGATGGGCGCATGTGTATACATACAATACATACTTGTGTAAGTGAACGCACATTCATAAATATGTATCTAAATTTCAGCTTTTATGGTTGATTGTGTCTTCCTTTGAGTACTAGTTAGATATATAATAACTAAAATTGCCTTTATCTTCTTCATTCTTAAATAAATTTTAGCTGATTTGTATCTAAGCTTTTGCAATTAAAAACAAAAACAAATTAAAAAGCATTGTTTGTTCGGATACATTCAAAATATATTCTACGAAGTTGCAATGACTTCGACGGTGCTCTTTTTGTACTGCAACTACAATATCGAATATAGAGTGAAATGTTAAAAATTCACTTGTTTTTATATGCAAATTTATTATAGGTCTTTAGGCAATATACTTAATCAGCAACAAAAGCGCTTTACAAACAAAAGAGCCTTGTTCAATATGCATGTATGTCCTGGATGGGTTCACTTGCCAACTTTCAGCCATGTCTTTAATATTTACTGCTGCTTAAATTGTCTGATAGAAAATAATTTTGTCGCTACCACCAGAATAGAGTACACAACCCTTACTGTAAAGAGATGATTGTTTATGAAAACATATCCTTAAAAGGAAAAAAATTTAGAACTTATTTATAAATACATCTGCATAGTTTTCTTTCTTTTCCATAGTATGTATACAAAAAGAGGCTAATACATACATATTTGTCTAGAGCCCATATTTGCTGCTGCTATAATTTAACTATGTTGATAATGTTCCTATATTTTTTAAAGATACAATCACTCGCAGGTTAGCATTAACTAATTCAACAATAGTTTACAAATAAAATTTTTTTAACAATGTACTTGATGCTATGATAGTCGCAAAGATCATTTTTCTTAGTAATGTAGATAGTATTTATTTTAATACATACATATGTATGTATGTATGAAGTTTAAATAGGTCTTCTTTGTATTGTATTCTGTTCGTTTTGTACATTTGAAAGATTTGTCTTTGTTGTTGCTCTTTTAGTTAGAGGTGAAATTCATATAAACAAATGTGTGATCTATATCAAGATTTAGATACATACTTTAAGATTAACTGCTACATATGTATGTATGTGTGATTTCCTTAAGATATGATTATGGATTTATTTAAGTAGTTTTGTAATGTTCTTTCAATGTTTCTAGGATATATAGTGAGTGGGTCAGACAACGCCACATGTGACAATGTTTCCTTTTCATAGTTGGCGCTTTTTTAAAACCAGCTTCATTTATATCTCCGCATACTTATGTAGATATGTATGTCTTATTGCTCTGCAATCTATGGCACTCTCATATCGCTATTTAGCGAGGATGGCGCATCATCGGGGCTGGGCGAATCGTCACCATGTGGTCGTATACGTACCACCGCGCGTCTAGTATCCTCATCACGTTGTGGCATGTATAGTCCAGAGGGTCCGGAGTAGCAAGTTGTATTATTGCTGGACAAACGTAATTTTTCCGTTTCGCCATTTGTGCTCTCGGTGAAGAGTTGACCAAGATTTAATTGCGGTATATCATAGAAGATTGTCAGCACAAACATCATTGCAATGAGACCTATGTGTGAGAGGGTGTGAAGGACAGAGAAAAAAGTGAGTAGATAAGTAGTTATATAAATAAACCCTTGTTACTCAAGTGCCCAATTTCTAACTCACCACAAATTAAGTAAATGCTTATGAATATTTTATACATCGAACGATTGCCAATAGTAACACCATCGCCGGGTATATAATCGCCCAAACCAATAGTTGTTAGCGAAATGAAACAATAGTAGAATGAGTCCAAAGCGCCCCAGGCTGGTTCGATGTAAGCGAAGATAGCCGTTGGTATAGCGAAGAATAGGATAATCACAATGATGGCTGAAATAATAGCGGATACAAAGAGGATGTACATGCATGTATTTTGAGAAGATTACAAAGCTATTACTTATTTAAAATATCGCATCATCCCCGCTCGCACACTTACCCACAACACTTAGATGCAGCAGCCGTATATTGAAGGGCTGATAGAGATGACCCAATTTGGAATTCAGAATGCCCAACAACCAACTGGCCGGTACTAATAGGCGCTCCACCATAGCACTCAATAGCACCAACGTGAGTGGAATGCCGATGGCTGCATAAATTATGCAAAATATTTTCCCTGTTTGGCTAAGTGGCGTTACATGGCCATATCCTGTGTAGAGGTGAAAATATTTCATATGCAAAAATCAGAAGGCAGAAGTTTTAATGTTCTTACGTACAAACATACATAAGTAAATATGTATGTACATAAATGTGTATGCCTATGTGGTGATGTCTGTATGTATGTGTGTTTGCATGCCGTTGTGCGGGGTGATTAACAAAATGCAATAAATGCGGACATCAACAATGATAATGTAATCTGTACAAGCGTGGCTGACCACAATTTTGCAAATACATACAAATGCATGAATGTATGTAGGTATGTTGATATGTAAAAGTATGTTTCTAGGTTGAATGGCACTCACCGATTGTTGTTATCACCGTGCTGGAGAAGAAGAATGCTTGCCCAAAGCTCCAATTCATTTCATTTGTGGCATTGCGCAACGGTGATATGCCGCGATCGTTAGCCGTAATCACAGCTTTGAGAAACTCTTCGAGATCTTCGTCTATATACATACATAAATGGAAGAAATAAAAGAAATTACGTGTAATTTTAAAAACAAACCATACAAATATTTAATGAGATTAATTTAATTTATATGCACAGGGCCGGATTAACACGTGTGGGGCTCGCGGACGGAAGGAAATGTGGCCCACTTTTAGCGATAACGTGTAGATTAAATATAATGCGTGCGCTTTAATTATCAACAAATACCAACTGTGACCACATTGGCCCATGCACTGGCTCTACAATTATCCTAATTTTACAAGCTTTTATTTAATTTGCTCATCCGGCAGAACAACGATAAAGGCTATAATTTTATGTAGTTATATACATAGATAATTAGATAACATTCGGAAAAAATTTCGCTTGCAGTAATTTCTACGCGGTAAGTGCTCCTTCATTATTTGATTTCATAGCGATTCGGATAACTTCCTCATTGAAATAGTAAAGAAATTCGAAAAGTACTTTTTTCGGTTAAGCGCACAAGTTTTTCGTGCAAAGATGGATGGGCAGCTAAGCAAAATATACT